CTCTCTCTCTCTCTCTCACACACACACACACACACACACACACTCACACACACACACACACACACACCACTCCCTCCCCCCAAAGACACCTTTCTTTGCACTTTCTTTTAAATGGACGTGGCGCGTGCGTATTAATCGACCTTTTGAGGATCATGTAATAAACGACAAGAGTTCAAATCAGGAGTCCTCGGGAATAACACACCGTGCAACCCCCCCCCCTCGATCTGTTCGGGTTTTCTAAAAAGAACCCCCGTTTCTAGCCCCCAAGAAGGCCTGATGCGCCCTTCGCTTCTGGCTCCAGGGAGGAGCGGATTTACGCAACGAAGCAACAAAACGTGGCTTCGAGCGCAGGTCTTTGCCAGACAGACCCGAGAATCCCTTCCTCTTTTCTGCAACGGGCAGCTGCGGTTTCTTAGACAAGGTTTCACTTGGGAGGGTGGGGAGGGGGGGGGGTTTGCTTTTTAAAATACGAGTTACTATGCACTGTAAGAGGATGCTCATTTGTATTGCTTGGAAATACCTGTAAAATTGTACGGATTTAAGAGAATCCTCTCCGGTCTCGCTGGACAAAAGCCCAGCCCGGCACTTGCATCAGAGCAGCCACTGGGGGTGGGGGCCGCTTCCCCCACGTCCCCCAGGGCTTGTGCTGTGTCGGGACGCCCCCCCCCCCCCCCGCCCCCCGGTCAGGTCAGGGGGATAGATACCCGCCAGCCGCTCGCTCTTCAGGCCGTCCTCGGGAGCCTCTCCCTCGGCGGCCGCCGCCTCCTCCTCCTCCTCCTCGCCCGCGTAGGGCCTCTTCTCGTCGGCGCCTTTGTTGCGGGGCGGCCAGGTCATCTTGTTCTCCTTCTTGAGGCGGCGCCGGGCGTTGGCGAACCAGGTGGAGACCTGCGTGAGGGTCATCTTGGTGATGATGGCCAGCATGATCTTCTCGCCCTTGGTCGGGTAGGGGTTCTTGCGGTGCTCCTGCAGCCAGGCCTTCAGCGTGCTCGTCGTCTCGCGGGTGGCGTTCTTGCGCCGCGTCCCGCCGTCCAGGGCGCCGTACCTGCGCGGGGAGGGGAGAGACGGTCAGGAGAGGGAGAGACGCCGCCCCCCCCCCCGCGGCCGCTCAGTCCCAGGACCCCTCCCCCGTGCCAAAGCCTCAAGGACTTCCGGGGGGGGGGGATTGAGCCGTTTTTGTAGCTGTTGGGTATTCCAAGTTGAAAACACTCAGTATACCTGGGGTTAAATGTTTGTTTCTGTTACTCACAGGAAGTCACATGTTTCTCATGTAACCAATGTTCTTTAGATGTAGGGATGCCCGGGAATTTTCTCCCTGATCTAGGGATTTGATTGGGACTAAAGTGTCAAGGTGTATTAGCATTTTATGGCTTCTCTTCCCGTCTTTGTTTGGTGTTCTCAAGAAGAAGAAGAAGAAGAGCAGCCATAATCTCTCTCTTCCAGTTTTGTCTTTGTAGAGTAAGGATGTAGCCGATTATGCTCTGTTGTTATTTTCATCCCAGTTACCCTTCCCCATGCTAGAACTTAGTAAAAAGTCTGCTGGACTATCTTATCTCTTCTAAATACCTTTTTTTCAATATCTCATATCTCACTATCACCCAACAGTAGCCGTAGCCCCCCCCCCTCCTTAGGTGTTGCTCGGATGCAGGTAAACGACTCGGCCCAGTTCAGCCGGAAAAATCTGGCGAGATTAGCTGCTGGATCAGCGCCCTGCTGGCCCCGACCCGGCAAGAGTGCTGCTGACGCCCTTCGGAGTCCATTGACCCCAAAGGAGGGCGAAGGGAGGGGCTCTCCTGAGCCCGCCCGGTCAGGACTCGACGGGACATTCGTCGCCATGGGGCTCAGCTGAGCTGGGGATCCAGCCGCGCGCGGCCCCCTCTGACTCAAGCATTCCCACGACACGAGCGGGCTGTTTCGAAGTGTGCCCCCGTCTGTAAGGTCGCTCAGAGGCGAGCCCCGGCCGCCTTCGTTGGGGGGGGGGGGCAGGAAGGCTCCCTCTCGGCAGTGGAGTCTCTTGTGAGCAGAAATGTTGGGTGTTACAAGTTAAAACACTTCTATTTCAGTATTTACTGGGTTAATACTGTTTACTGAATCACATGTTTGTTTGTGACCAATACGTTTAGAGAGCTAGAAAGCCCGGTAACTTCAGATCTAGTTTGTTGTTCTGATTGGAGAATAGAGTGGCTAGTATTAGCATTTTATGGCTCTTTGTCCTGAGCAAGAAGAAGTTAGTCTCCTTTGCTCTCTTCTGCCATGTTCTGTCTAGCTGTAAGGATGTAGGAATATTAGCTCTTTGTTATTTTTCATCCCGTATACCTTTTCCCATGCTAGGTTGTAGTAAACATTTATATTTAAAACACACCATGGACTCTGACTCTTTAATACTCTGCTGAATGCTGATTACTCTGCTGATTAACTTTAGAAATTAAGAACTAAAACCCAACAAGAAATCCTACTTGGCGAGCTGCTGGCATTAAGGTTGTGAGCCATGAGCGATTTGGCTCCTGCGTGAATCCGTTTGCTCTGGAGCCCCATCCTTCCCTGAGCTGAGACAAAAACGTGTGAGCCGGAGGCTAAAAACCTGAGAGCTGGCTCACAATAGCTCAGCTCAGAGGGACCACTGGCCGCCTGAACTCGTCCTCTTCGGCAGGCGAAGCAGGGCGGAATGGGAGGCCGCCAAAGAGGCCCAGCGGGGCTGCCGGGCAGGGGCAGGCCACAGCACAGCGCACCCTCCGAGGGTCTCTCGCCTTCAGAGCCCCAGGAGGAGGGGCTGCCGTCAATCAGGTGGGGGGGGAGGCTGCGGTCTTTTTACGGGCAGGAACCGAGGAGGAAAGAGAAGCGGCAAAGGAGGCTGGTTGTTGGAATTGCAAGTTGCTTACACTTCAGTCATTACAGAGTTAAATGTTGTTTGTTAGGAAACAGGATGTTACGTCACATAATGTATTCTAGGGCAGGAAAGTTTGTGGGAGTTGTTTACCCTAATGAAGTGACCTGTAACCTTTGTATTGGTCAACTAACAACTTGTTTGTGGAAATGCTTTGATCTAGCATTCATCTATTCACAAGGTTTATGGCTCTTTGTGTGAACCAGAGAGGAAGTTCTCTCCTGGAAGTCAAGACAGTTAGAAAGATGTAGCTGTTACCATATAGTACTGAAAGTGACTGCAAGTATGTAACCTTTTATTTTATTTCTTTGATCCAAAGTACCTTACCCATGCTTTATTTTGTTTTAGAGTAAAGATATTTTTCTTTTACTAAGTGTGGCTCTTGTGTTTGCAATACGACCACCGACCCTGAATCAAAGAATCCCGACACTGGCTCAGGACTCTCGCGACCCCACCCCAACCCTTTCCCCGAGGGAATCCGTCGAAGGGACCCGAGGTGGGCGGCCATCATCAGTGCCCGCACTTTGCTCCTCGCAAGCCTCCCTCCCGGCCCTTCCTGCCCGACTCGATACGAAGTGTGGGCTCTTGTGTTTGCAATGCAACCATCGACCCTGAATCAAAGAATCCCAGCACTGGCTCAAGACTCTCGCGACCCGGAGCCGGAGGGAGAAACACCACCCCTAGAGGTCGCCCCGGGGTGAGCGGGGATCCCCGGCTGCCCTTTCCGGGCCAGCCAGGCCGGCCCCCAAGGCAAACGGGAGGCTTTCACGCCGGGTCGAGGGGAGGGAGATCCGTCTCCACCCGCAGGAAAAGGCCCCGCTCCTCGGGCCGAGAGGAGACGGCGCCGGCGACAGGCTCGTTCCCAGGCGCGAGGGGACCGCAAGGGAGGCGGGCGGGGGGGGGGCAGCCATCAATAGAGGGACTCCTGCGCCTTTTCGCCCTGGGCGCGCTCCTGGCGGACGGCTTCCGACCTGGCAACGCCGCCCAGGCCGCTCCGGAGTTGTGGGCGCCCCCCTCCCCTCCGCTGGATGTTCGCGCTGCCTGCGGCCCTCGGCCACGCTGGCCTCACCACCACAGCCCCGGCCGGCAGGGCCCAGATCCCCTAGCTAGCGAGGCCCCAACGGTTGCCTTCCGAGTAAGCGCAGGGCTGGGCGGCTTGGCCTCGGGGAGTCCCTGCGAGCTGAGAGCCGGGCGGCGGGAGCGTCTGCGGCAAAAAGTCACTCGCCCCGGCTGGGCCCCCAGCCCGGGGGTCGGGCCTCGAGCCGAGCCGAGCCGCTTCTGGGCGCTCGTGGGAGCCTTGGGCGTCTGCTGCAGTCCCGACCCGCACCCTCTTCGGGGAGCCCAGGCAGGCCGCCCAGCACGGAGCATTCCTCGACGGCTGCAGGTGCGAGGGCGAGCCTTGGGACAGCCCCCCTGCCGCCGGGCTCCTCTGGCCGCTTGGGACGGGGCAGGGAGGGGGGAGGTTATCCTTGGAGCCAGGAGAGGGCAAACGGCATGGCCACGGGGGGGGGGCGGTTCTCAAGGCAAGAGAGCGACAGAGGTGGCTGGCCTGCCGCCGCCTGCCTGGACTTCCTCGGTGCGAGGGCGGCGGGGCGACCCGGCTGAGCTCGTGCGTGCCGAGGAGCCGCCCCGGCCGATGGCTGCCTCCTATTCCGCGCCCCACCCAGCAACGAAGCCACTTGGCCCTGAAGGACGCGGAGACGTCCGGGTTTCTACGGTCCGCCCCAGTGGCATTCGGAGCATGGCGGGCCCACGGCTCCCCTGACCTCGCCGTGCCAGGAGCAGCAGCCGCAGGCCTGCTCAGGTGTGCGCGGGGGACCCCGCAGCGCGGCCAGAGGGCGCCACCAGACGCGCCTCGCCCTCGGCCCCGTCCGACCCTCGCTGGCGGCACCACCCGCACGCAGACCCTACGGGACGGGCCCACGGCTCCCCTGACCTCGCCGTGCCAGGAGCAGCAGCCGCAGGCCTGCTCAGGTGTGCGCGGGGGACCCCGCAGCGCGGCCAGAGGGCGCCACCAGACGCGCCTCGTCCTCGGCCCCGTCCGACCCTCGCTGGCGGCGGCACCACCCGCACGCAGACCCTACGGGACGGCGCGGCCACCTTCCGACACAGGCCCCCCCGCCCCCGCCCCATTCCGCCGGGCCTCTCACCTGTCATACTGGTACTGGCTGAGCGTGTGGTCGTAGGGGTAGTAAGCGGCCGCCTGGGTCAGCCCCGCATGCGCAGATCCGCCCCCGTCCTTGGACTCGAAGCTGTTCTGGAAGAGGGAGAAGGTGCGGGCCGCGGGTCAGAGCGGGATCATGGCCCTCGGGGCGGGCAGGGAGTCGGAGGCGCCGGGCTCATGCTGGGGG